TTCAATCCCCCATACCAAAAAAAAAAAAAAAAGTGGATTTTGCAGCAAATACTTGATTTACAAAAAAACAGAGGTCCAAAACTGCTTTGAAAGTATATATGTCATGTAGCTAGATGTGAAGCTACTAGATGTGTAGACAGTATTATTTTAATACATAAATTCAAGCATTATTTCAGTAACATTCTTACTAGTTCATAATTAAATCATATTTTCAAAAAGATTTAAGTCAGGAAAACAAAAAAGTTCTCATTTGTAGGAAATGTAATAATATATTAGGACCCTTTGAATGGCACTTGTTTTGTGTGTGTATGTGCTCTACCACTGAGCTACATCCCCAGCTTGAAAGGTTTAGTATTAATAGATTTAGTATTAATAAGACATATACCTTAGCATTTCTTTTCCCTTTCTACTTTTATAAGAATGAAGTGGAAGAAAGAATAGACCCTTCCGGATTGTTACATCTTTTTTTTTTGGTACCGGGGATCGAACTCGGGACCTTGCACTTGCGAGGCAGGCGCTGGAACCCACTGAGCTAAATCTCCTGCCCAAGAATAGACCCTTCTAATTTCTCTCTTATTCCCAGTTTATAATTTCCAGATGAACACAATTGTTTTGCTTATAAGCAGATTTGTTGCCTGTCCTAAAATTTTGCCTGGGTTTTCTTGTCTTCTAGTGGCCATATAAAGGACGTCCTAAAGAGAAAAGCTTCCTTTATGAGATAGTGGCTAATAAAAGAAATGGCATTGATGTAGATAAGTGGGATTATTTTGCCAGGTATGCACTGAACACTTCAGAAAAGTTGTGTAAAATCTTTATATGAATTCAGTATTAGTATTTAAAGTGCACTTTTTCTGTTGAAAAATTTCATCTTTTTCTTTGGACTCCTTATAGGGACTGCCATCATCTTGGAATCCAAAATAATTTTGATTACAAGCGCTTTCTTAAGTTTGCCCGTGTCTGTGAAGTGGATAATAGGAAGCATATTTGCACTAGAGAAAAGGTAAGCTATGTCAAAGGAGACAAAAAGAAAAGTGTAGTTTCTTGTTTGAAATTTGGAAATAACTTTCAGCTATTTGGAAAAATTGGTAAATGATCAATCCTTTTATTTAAAATATATTTGTAATCCTTTTAAGGCTCTTTTCATTTCTACTGCATTGTTAAGTCGTAATATAATGTTAAATTTAACATTTATTTAGTGCTGGGCACTGTTTTGTTGTTGTTACTGTTTTTGTGTTGCTGGGAATTGAAACCAAGTGCTCATGCTCACGCACTAGGCAAGCACTGTACCACTAAGCTACATCAACAGCCCTGGGCAGTGTTTTATGTGCTTTGAATGAATCAACAATCCTTATAACCCTATGAGATACTATTATTAGCCCATTTGTCTTAGTCTGGTTTTTTTTACTATCACAAAATATCTGAGGCTTGATACTTTATAAAGAAAAGAGGTTCAGGGCCGGGGATTTAGCTCAGTGGTTTTGCCCCCTGCTGTGCAAGCGCAAGGACCTGAGTTTGATCCCTGGTACCAGAAAAAGAAAAGAAAAGAGGTTCATTTAGTTCACAGTTATGGAGGCCCAAGAGCATGGTACTGACATCTGCTTGGCTTCTGATAAGGGTCACTTACTGCTTAGTGTATGGAGGAAAATCAGAAAGGCAAGCAGGCATGTCCTAAAGAGAGCAAGGGGAGGTTCCAGGCTTCATTTATAACAAACTGCTCTTGAAGAACTACATTAATCTCTTCATGAGAGTGGAGCTCCCAAAACCCAATTACCTCTTAAAGGCCCCATCACTTTGCAGCACTGTTATTTTGGAGACCTACTTTTGACATGAATTTTTCTGGGGACAAACCATATTTAAACCATAGCACCATTTAACAGGTGAGCAAATTGAGCCATAGGAAGGCATAGAATTAATAAATGACAGAGCTAGAATTTCAACCCCACTAGGTCCCTGCTAGATAACAGTCTTGTAACTAAAGAATGCTATAGCACTGTACTCTAGTATTGTACTGTCAAGAGTAAAGAACAGTAATACTTATCCTGAATAAGAATAAGAATACTTATCCTGTAGATTTAATGAGATGATTAAAAGATGTATTTAAAATGCCTAAAACAGAACCTGTGGGCTGGAAGTGTGTAGCTCAGTGGTAAAACATGTGCTTAGCATGCACAAGGCCCTGGGTTTAATACCTAGCACAAAGGAAAACCCAAGACAAAATAAAACAAAACCCCAACAGGATCTGTCACAAAGTTGGAACATCATGTATAATAGATTTTTTTTTTTTTTTGAGACAAGGTCTTGCTATGCAGTTCAAGCTGGTCTTGAATTCACATTGCAGCCCATGCTGGCCCTGACCTCATGGTGATCCTCCTGCCTCAGCCTCCAGAGTGCTAGGATTACAGGCACGTACCACCATGCCCAGCGAGATTTTTTTTTTGGTACCAGGGATCAAACTAAGGACCTTGTGCTTGGAAGGCGGGCAGCGGAACCACTGAGCTAAATCCCTGGCCCCCAGCGAGATTTTAATTTATTAAAAATGAAAGTCACAGGTGGGTGTGGTGGTGCATGCCTCTAATCCCAGCACTCTGGGAGGCAGGGACAAGAGGATCACAAATTCAAGCCCAGCCTAGACGATTTAGTGGCTTAGAGAGACCCTGTCTCAAAATAGAAAATTTAAAAGGGGCTAGGAATGTAGCTCAGCATGAAAGCCCTGGGTTTAATCCAAGAAAGAAAGGATGGGCAGGAGAGAGGAAAGGAGGAGGGAAGAAAAGAAAGAAGGAAAAGAAGAGGAAGAGTTGCAAACCAATAAACAGCTTTACCCATTCCTCTCTTTCAGTCGCCTCAAGGGTTTTAATGAGTAGCTCTTGCATGTAGCCTTTTTGTCTGCCATCGTCCCTTTTATTTGTCTTACATACTTGTCTCCTAACAAGATTAATACAATCTGACCCTAAATTAATATACATTCATGTTTTTCTATAGGAGGTTGGCAATCTGTATGACATGTTCCACACACGCAACTGTTTACACCGCAGAGCTTATCAACATAAAGTCGGTAACATCATTGATACAATGTAAGAAATTTTACAGTTATTTCCCCCTAAAATCTGCCATGGTGCTTTACTGCATTATCATACTTGGCTGAAATTGAGATTTCCAGATAAATTCAAGTTGGGTCTAAAGTAAGTAAGTAAAATAGTTTCCTTAAACAAACAGATAAAATCCAACATTAAGTAAACGTAGTTGGAAGAAGAGGAGAGAAATGGGCAGGTAGAGAACAGTGCACATGACTGAAGAGGAGCTGGCTTAGGCTGGAGACAGAGAAGCAGGGCCAAAGTGGCTCAGGACCTCTGCACAGGTCATCACTTCATACCAGATACTGGTCACGGATGTAACAGGAGGCGGGCCACGATCAATTGACATTCTGAGATTAAAAACAACAATTAATCTTGAGGATTAAAGCTTATATGTTTTATCTTGTCAAATATTTATCAAAGTTAGTAGCAGGTAGTAAGTCCAGCAGGAATTTCCCCTCTTTTTCTCTGAGTCAGTCAGAACCAAAACAAAATAGTACAGTAGAATCTGTATGTGACTCAAAGACTCCATGAGGAGTTTTGATCCCAAGCAAAATTTGAATGTGAGTGAAGTATGGTGGAGTATACTTGTAATCCCAGCTACTCAGAGGAGGCTGAGGCAGAAAGATCCAAAGTTCAAGGCCATCCTATGCAATTAGTGAGACCCTGTCTCAAAATAAAATTTAAAAAGGGCTGGGGTAGGGGCCAGGGATTTAGCTCTGTGGTGCCGGCACCTGCCTCACAAGCTCAAGGTCCCGAGTTCGATCCCTGGTACCAGAACAAAAAGGGGGGCTGGGGTAGAGCACTTGCCTAGATTGTGCAAGTCCCTGGGTTTGAGCCCAGCACACACAAAAAAAGATCAAGTGTGAGTCAAGTTGATTTCCATGTCTTTAAATGGATTATTATAAACCTTTAAGTTCACATTTATATTTGTGTTGTGGTAGAAATTCTCTTCATTTCTGTTTTTTAACCTATCCTTCATTATGAGTAGACTAGTTAGAATAGGTTCTCTTATTAGTATGTTGGTACTTTGGTAAGAGTTTTTTTTTAATTCAGAGTCAGAAAAGTCTACATTCAAATCCTGCCACTGCTTCTTCCTAACCTGCTGGAAGGAAAATTATATTATTTCTGCATCTGTAAAATTGGAGCTGATTATACCTACCCATTGTTGGAAAAATTAAATAAGATAACCTATCTGAAACCCTCCCCATAGTGCCTGGAGTAAGTAAACACAGGAGCTCACAGATCACTGCACATTTACTTAGTGAGAAAGAAGCCATTTTCTTTAGAACATCTTCCCTCAAAGTTTATTTTCACAGAATAGAAAGATCCCCTTAAGTAAGGTATAAAGCACAAATATTCAAAATTTCTCTAAGCATATTTTCATAAAATGATCTTTAGGATTACAGATGCTTTCCTCAAAGCAGACCCCTACATAGAGATTATAGGTGCTGAAGGGAAAAAATATCACATTTCTACAGCAATTGATGACATGGAAGCCTTCACCAAGCTGACAGGTAAGAACTGAAGGTAACATAATGGTCCATCTCAGATATGGTATAGACTGTCCCTGGATTGCTGATCCACACTTTCAAATGTATCTTAGCTTCCTATTTGATTATACTGCATATTTTTAAATTTGAGTTTATCTCCGTATTATACTAACAAGGTGATCTTGGTAAAGTGATTTAACCTCTCTGAACCTTAGTTTCCTTGCCTATAAAAAATAAGTATAGGGGGCCAGGGATTTAGCTCAGTGGTTCTGCCGCCTGCCTCGAGAGCACAAGGACCTGAGTTCGATCCCCAGTACCAAAAAAAGAAGAAGAAGAAAAAGAAAAAAGTATAGGGCCTGGGATTTAGCTCAGTGGTTCTGCCACCTGCCCTGCAAGCACAAGGACCCGAGTTCAATCCCTGGTACCAAAAAAAAAAATATTGCAAAGCATATGAGGCTAGGATTAGTGCTTTATATTTCTGCAGAAACAAAGTCTGCAGTTTAGAGTAAGAGATGAGGGTGTGGTAGTTGATTCTTTAAACTAGGAAAGTGTCGATTGAGAATAAAAATGAGTAAGCTGGGCATGGTAGCACACGCCTTTAATCCTAGCACTTGGGAGGCTGAGTAGCAGGATCACTGTGAGTTTGAGGCCAGCCTGGACTACATAGTGAGTTTAAGGGCAACCTAGACTACATAGTGATACCATGTCTCAAAAAACAAAACAAAGAACAAAAAATAGGCTTATATATTGTTTGTGCCCTTTCCCCTATCTCATTTAACTAATGATTTTTTTTTTTTTTTGGTACCGGGGATCAAACTCGGGACCTTGTGCTTGTGAGGCAGATGCCAGAACCACTGAGCTAAATCCCCAGCCCTCTAATGATTTTTTTTAATAGTGCTGGGGATCTTGACCATCCTAAGCAAGTACTCTATCACTAAGCTATATCCCTGGCCCTAGTAGTTTATTTTTATCTTATTTTATAGAAAATGTCAATCTAAAAGGGCTGAAAATTTTAAAAATTGGTTCTGAGTGCTTGGATTACAGCATGCACCACCACATCCAACTTTGTCAGACTTTACTGTTTAATAAATTTAATAAAAATAAATATAATAGGGCCGGGCATTTAGCTCAGTGGTTCTGGCACCTGCCTTGCAAGTCCAAGGTCTCAAGTTCATTCCCTGATACCAAAAAGAAAAAAGGAATATGTATAGTTTTTGTAATGTGAGTTTATCTTTTTTAAAAAATTTGTTTATTTATTTATTCATTTTGGTACCTGGGATCAAACTCGGGACCTTGTACTTTCGAGGCAGGTGGCAGTACCATTGAGCTAAATCCCTGGCCCAACTATACATATTCTTTAAAAATACATTTAGCCCTCTGAATCCACATGTTCTGCAACTGTGGATTCAACTAACCATGAATACAGAATTATTGGGGAAAATATGTCTGTCCTGACCATGTGCCAACTTTTTTTTTTTTTTTTTGGTACCAGAGATCAAACTCGGATCCTTGCACTTGCGAGACAGGCGGCAGAACCACTGAGCCAAATCCCTGGCTACCAACTTTTTTTTTGGTTATTTCTCTCTAAGCAGCACAGTATAACAAATGTTTCTGTAACATTTATATCCTATTAACGTAAGTAATGTAGAGGTTAAAGTATGCGGGAGGATGTGCATAAGTTATTTTATATAAAGGATGCGCATCCTTGGGTTTTGGTAGCCATTGGGTCATGGATCCAGTCCTCCACAGATACCAAGAGATGAGTGTACACATAGGCAGTTAATATAGAGAACTCCTATTACACTTGTAAGCTTGTAGCCATTTTCCAATCATAAATAAGCCAAAATTGGAAGTGGTGATTTTTCATAGCAAATGTCTTTGTGCACTCTGAGAACACTGGGCATGTCAGTATTTAAGGTTTATGATGTGACAGCTAAGTTTGTTTCTTGCTTGCTAATATATCTAATCTAAGGTTGGATTGATGACAAAGTTCCAGGAGATAACGTATATCTAAATTGTTTCTCCATTTCAATAGTGTCATAGTAAACTAGTCTCCCATCATTATGTTGATAGGAACAGAAAAGGAGATTTTAAAGCAATCTGGGGATATTTTTCACTTTTATTCATAATAAAGGAAATGATACTGTGTTTTGAAAAGTCACCTTCAATCCTTCATTAAAAGCCAGTTCTGGGCTAGGGATTTAGCTCAGTGGTTCTGGCACCTGCCTCCCAAGCACAAGGTCCCAAGTTCTAACAAGTTATTCTGTAAAGTTATAATTGCATTTAAGCTATTTTGGATGAGAAGACATACATTTTAGATTTTATATGCTTGGGTCAATTGACATACTAACCCTAAAGTAGTATACATTAGTATAGTCCACATTGTGGAACTATAAACAGCTCTTGCTCACCATAAAGGTTCTGTACCATCCAAATTGGCTTTTACCATGTTCAGTGAGATACACTTGCATGTTGTAGCACTGTTGAGAGCCTGTACTTGAATGTGGTAGCAGTGCCAAACTGCTTTAACAGGTTTTCAGTGCTTACCGTCAATTGCTGTGCTTGTCGTCAATTGCTGTGCTTGCCTCTGTAGTTTTAGTTAGTAGTCAGTAGACAAGCACTGCCCTACAGATTCCACTTGGAATAACACTGATCTAAACTCTTCTGGTCTCTTTGTATTAATTGTTCAAGGTACAAAAATCCCAAGTAAGAGATTAGGTCACATCCTTGTGCTTTATCCATCAGCATAGCAGAAGAGCGTATGGCCTGTCCAGCTTTCATCATTTGAGACAGAGACAATATTCTTTCTTGCATATTATTCTGAGCAGTCTTATAATCCTTATTGTCCTTAACTACCTGACCTTGAAGGGATAGGACCAAGAGGCCCTCTGTTACCGTTACTGCTTTTCCAAAAGTCAACACAGCATGTATTTGTTTAAAAAGCTCAACTTCCTAGGCTTTTTTTTCTTTTTTATCTTTTTGGACTGTTTTCTACATTTTATTTTGAAGTATTGAAAACATTCAACAATATTGAAATAACTTTGCAGTGAACACCCACCACCTAAATTATAGCAGTTACTGAACTTACTTCATCATGTATTTAGCACATAATAACATACTCCTGTCCATCTGTTGATCCATCTCATTTGATGCCTTTCAGAGTATCCTGTCCTTCAACATGCATATTAAGTTCAGTAGTTTGTATTTCCTGTTAATTGATTTTTCTTTTATTATAAAATATATATACAGTTCATACAAATGTACAAATCTTGGGCACATTTATTAGAGCTTTGACAAGTACAGGACATTGAACATTATTTTCTTCTCAGAAAATGCTGTCCTGCTCCTTCCCAATCAGAAGTAAGCACTGTTTGCCTGTTTTAGGTTTTTATGCCAACAGAGTCATGCTGTGTGAAGTCTTGTGTTTTTGAGGGTCATCTACGTTGTGTGTGTCAATAATTTATTCCTGCCAGTTTGTGTGTTTGTTCTCTGCTTCTAAAAATCCTATTGCTGGGCCAGGGATTTAGCTCAGTGGTTCCAGCACCTGCCTCGAAAGCACAAGGTCCTGAGTTCAATCCCCAGTA